TGTGATATTTGGGAGAACACAGAGGCAGGAACTTTGCTAAGATTCTGATGAAGGGAGAGAAGAGGGGGAGTGGATGGCAGAAATGACACCCAGAGTGTACAGTGGAGTTTTCCAGAGGGTTCATGACATGCAATGATGTCATTGTTCTGGAAACAAATAAAATGTCTGAAATATCTGCTCATGGATCCTGCCCTTTGAAATTTTCTTAGTTTTAATTTCTTTTTCTTTTTCTCTTTTGGAACTTGGGATTGAACTCAGGGCCTCGTGCTTGCACGCTTGCTAGAGAAGCACTCTACCACTTTAGCCATGCCCTAGTTCCTTTGTTTTAATTTCTACCATAGGAAACATAAACAGCTACTATGGCAACATAAAAGGTAGTTACACTCCCAAAAACTTTTTAGGAGAGTAAAGGAGTCCTGGGACCGAACAGGCATCCCATTTTAGAGAGAATAAGAAACCATAATTGCATGCATATTACATATGTGTATGTGCAGAATATGAGTGAATGCTTCAGTTGGTTTAAAGGATCGTGGCATAGCCTATGGGAAATTGTACTCTAGATCCTTTGGATCTCATCCAATCTTTAAAATCATTTTTGAGCATTCATTCATATGTTTTAGTTTACTTTAATCATAATGCACTATTATGTAGAGCATTAAAACTCACAAAATATATGTATCTTAATATGAAATAGAAGTGAAGCAAGCAATGTTTTTTAAAATTATTTTTATTAATGGGAAAATGCCTTTTGACCTCAAAAAGAAATAGTAAAATGAGTAAACATGTTTCACTACTTTTCTTAACAACCATCTGTCAATTTGTACTAGGCCATTTCAAGTTCTTAAGTTCATTTTATTGTGATTGTTGGTGTTAATAACAGGGCAGAAAAAGATAGCAAACCAAGAGAAAAAATAGAAGATTGATAGAAAAAATTCATTGGCTGTGCCGCCTAATTCATGACTAATTACATTTCATTTCCAGTTATCAAATATGGAAAAGTTTTTGTTGAAACTCAGCAAGTAAATTTCTGTCTTCTTTGATGTCAATTCTTTGATAGTCCCCCAAAAAAGGGGTTAAAAACTTCCTGAAGCTCTTAGTCTAGGTTATTTTTTAAGGTACTCAAAAAATTTGGTTTCTAAGTTTAAGTATGGAAATGAGAGAGTTTATAAGTGACACCGCTTCATTGCATTTGGATGAATGGATGAAGGAGCCACTGGCACCCCTGAGTTGAGCCACGCAGAGTTACTTCAGGACAGCTCAGATGATAGACAGTGACCACTGATGCTGACAAAGGGACAGCACCAGCACCAATTTGCATATCAAATATTAGCAGACTGTGGCTTACATCACGTTGTTTAAGTAAACTCAGAGGTCTCCTGTTTTCTTCCTGGTGGCACACACCCCGCTTTGGGCTGTGGGAGCAGCAGTGAGCCATCAGACAGACTTAGTAAGGAGGTGCATGAGCAGGTTGACGTACAGGTATAGCGAGTCAGTGGGCTGTGAAGATGGACTGGAGACAAGAAGGTAGACCGAAAGAGGCTGGGGCTCAAGGTGGAGAAGGACAGAGGATGGGTGGATTTGAGATATGTTTTGAAGACCCACAGGAGTTTGGATGTAGGATTGAGAGAAAAATCTAGATGTGGCTGGGAAAATGAAAGTGCCCTTCCTTGAGCGTGGAGAGAAGTAGACATGAAACACCATGAGTTTTATTGTGGACATTATTCTGAGCATCATCCTTGTGTGGTAGACAGCAGTGACTGTGAAAAACTAAGAACTGAAGCAATGTCAGTTCTTCCTGAGTTTTACTTGTCAGCCATCTGGTCTATTCCTAGGCTTTTTGCTTTTTAGGAAAGGCATCGATTTTTTTTTTTTTTTTTTTTTTTGGTGGTATTGGGATTTGAATTCAGGACTTCACTCTTGCTAGGCAGGCACTCTACCATTTGAGCCATGCCTCCACCCCATCAATTTCTTTAACACTCTGAAGAAAGCTATGGGCTTAGTTTGGGAAAAAAAAAAAGATTATTACACACACTGCAGCATGAAATCATGAACCACTCTGGCCCCATAGGTCCACCCACTCCAGACGGGGGCCTTGCTCTGACTGGCTCCCCAGTCTATGTTCCCCTGTCTATGTACCATTCTTCTGAGTCAAGGGTAATTTGCTAATTATAAATCACTTCCTATTTTAGAGTTCCTGATGACTTATGGTCAAATGCTTATGCTCATCATGGTGGTTGAAGAATTGTATTTTTTTCTTACTGCATGGTGGAAGAATGGAGAAGAAAGGAAAACGTTCATTTTGACACTTGGTGATTCTTCTGGGCATTCAGATGGCTCAGTTAGGATAGATGGGATGCAAAGGCACACAAAGCACCATCATTGAGTCAGAATCTAATAAGCATGGAAGAACAAGTTCATGACTCCACAGGGAAGCAAAGAGATAAATCTAGAATATGGGGTATTCTGCAGAACAACTGTTCAATCACTCTAACAAACAGATAGCATGAAAAATGAAAAGGGAATAAAAGAACTTTATGAAAAACAATCAAGCCACGCCTGGTGGCATTCATCTATAATCCCAGTCCTCATGAGGTAGAGACAGGAGGATTGCAAGTTTGCAGCCAGCGTTGGGCAACATGGCAAGAATTTTCAAAAAAGAAAAAAAAAAAGAAAGAAAAGAAAAGAAAAAAGGACTTTGTCTTGTTAGTGGACATTCTGAGAAATTGGAATATGGTAAGCAACCCATAACTATATATTTTCATCAACAATGAGCAGCATATACTACAGTGGCCCTGTAAGATTGTGTTGCCATGGGGTGTCATAGCTGCCTCAGTTTGTTTCGATCTACTCTGACGTCTACACAGTGATAAATCAGGTAGCAATGCATGTTTCAGAACACATCTCTGTTCTTAAATGATGCATGACTCTACCTGCTTGGGATCCGGACCATATGAAAGGGTCAAATAATTGAGTTGGGTGACATACAGGGGCTTATGTAAAAATATTCTTATCAATTAGAGGTATACGCTGAATATTTGGGGATGTGAGGTCACAATAACTGGGATTTGCTTTCACATTAACTAACTAACTAGTTAACTAACTAAAGAAGGGGATGATAGAGGAAACAAATTTGACAAAAATGTTGATGAATGGGAGTTTATTATACTAATTATAAAAACTTTTTAGATAGCACAAATTTTCACAAGTGAAAAAATTAGAAAAAGTTTTAGAAGGTGTGGTTGATGATCAGAGTCATGTGGGGATCTTAATAAGATTTCAGAGCTGTGCACTGTTCCTGACTTAATCTCCCGTGGGTACATTTATACAGGATGGGAGGAGAGGATAAAGAATTCTGGATGGAAGAATATTACAGGATTTAAGGTATGATATTTGGGGTTTGCCCATAGCTCCTAGTTTATAACTCTCTCCCCAAACCAGGCCAAGGAAACTAGGATTTCTCCTCTACAAGGCAGGTCCTAGAAACTACGAATATACTGGGATATTTCTCTGACTTTCTTTCTTAGAACTGACTATAAAGATTTTCTCTGATAGCATTTCAGAAAGGGCCCTGTCCCATGCTTTTGAGAAAGGAATGCTGCCCAAAGAGGCCAAATCCAGTCTGGACAGAGACAGACCTCTCTTGGTCTCCCCACCCAGCTTATTAACATTAGATCAGGCCCTTCTTTTGTCCCATCAAGGTCTACATGATTGTCCACACTCCAGTCATGTCTACGCAATGAAGTGTCCATAAAATCTCCAAAGGCCAGGATTCCAAAAGCTTCCAGAGAGCTAGCCACATAGCAGTACCTGGAGGATGGTGTGCCCAGAGGGGGCATGGAAACTCTGTGCCCTTCTCTATGGCTATCTGTCTGCATCTCTTCATCTATATCCTTTGGAATATCCAGCAAACGCATTTCCCTGACATCTATGAGCCACTCAAGCAAATGTATCAACTCTGAGGAGGGGATATATGGGAACCATTATTTATAACTGGTCATCAGAATAGGTCAAAAACCTCCTGGAGCTTGTGACAGGCACCTAAAGTGTGCTTGGTGAAGTCAGTGCTGGGGACTGAGTCAACCTGTGGGATCTGATGCCATCCCTAGGTGGACAGTCAGAACTGAACTGAATTGGAGGACACCTAGCTGGTGCCAGCTGCAGAATGAGTTGTGTGCTTGCTTGCTGGTGGGGACAAATTCTCATACATCGTGGGATCACAGCAATCTGTGTTGACTGTTGTGGTGTGACAGCATAGCAGAGGAAAAATGTTGTTTTCCCCTCTCAGTGAGCTTGTAATTCCCCAGGCTGGTCTTCCCTGTCTGACTCAGGAAATCTAACAGCAGTCTTCTTCCCTGACAATTTCTTTTTGTGCCTCCTCTCTCTCCCTTATTTACTCTTTCTCCACTTCAGGACCCTCCAAGATAGGGACTTTACATCTCATCTAAGCAGGTATGGGTGGGCCTTTCCCACTCCCACAGGCCTCACTCTTCTACCCAAAGCTTATACTTGAATATATGGCCCTAGCCTCATGCAGTGATTATCTTTTAAACGCTACCTTGTCTCCATGGGTGAGAGGTATATCATTGGCTCAGGTACACATCAATGGGGTGTGTGGAAAGTACAGTCTTCATAGTCAAGCCTACTTTCTTCTAGTATTCATCAATAGAGACATGAAAATTTGTTCTTAAATAATTTATTTTTTAATATTGGTTTTTGTGTAAAGTTACATTTCTTTAGGGGAACTTGAAGAAATCCAATAATGGTAGATAGCATTCTATCATGAACTAAATGTGCAAATTTTAAATATTTTCTATAATAAGTATAAATAACTTCATTTTTCACATTAAGAATGAAACTATTGATAGATACAAAGTAGTAAGTTATCAACTTTGAAAGAACTAGATGAAGACACTGAAGTTTGTCAATTTTGGAAAGAAATGAGAAAGATTTATGACATAGTAAATGACATGTCAGATAATATGAAGAAAGGCTATGTAGAGTTATAGATCACAAATATTTTCAGGACTTAGGTTCAGATCCCCAAAATGTCAGCCTTTACTTCTGGGGAAAATGCACTTCCATTCATTTTTCTAAGGACAAACATGACATTAACACAAAGCACATAGAGAAACTGCAGGGCAACGACAGAAAGAAATTTCCTCATCCTCATAGTTACTGTATTTTGCTATCCCAAGGCTGAAGTGTCACTGGACACTTTCCCCACCTAGGACTCAGGACACAGCATTAATACAGCAAGCAAACCATCACAAAAAGTCATCTCTTTTCTCTCCATTCTGGCCCATAGCCCTTCCCTATCTTCTCTCCAGAAGCATCTACAGAACACAGAAGTTTCTTATTGTATGGCTGGGCTTTCATAAGAAGGGGTATGAGAGTCTACTGGAATTTCTGTTAAAGCAATTCCTTCTTTCCTAGGGAGGCAACGAGCAAAGCGCACTGCAAGAGGACACCTCCCTCACTGAGGTCAGGAGCTTGCCACGTTCCAGAAAATGACCTAAAGCAAAATATGGTACCCCAAGAAGACACTGCAGCATTTTCCTCAGAGCAGAAGACACATCTTTATTTAAATAACTTTGAAGTTTGCAATAAATAAAGTGACTCGAGGGCTCCCTTTAAGATGGGAGCTTGTTGAGTTCATGTAATGAGTTGTGTACACAAAGGGTGTACAACAACCAGAAAATAGGATATTATTAACCAGTCTTCCTACTTCTATCTGTAGGGCAGCATTTCGAAATTAAGAAGTTCCCTCTTATATAAGGGTATATTATATATGCACACACTTTTGCACACACCTTGGTTCAAGCTAACCTTTTTAGAAGTGAAGATAAGGATAGCCCAGGGTCATATTTATTCTCACTAGAATGTTCAGATTTTTAAAAGGTGTACATTGTAAAGAGCAGCTCGTTTTCTCTTCCATGTGAATAAGTTCAATGTCAGCAGCCTCAGAATCACAGTCCATGCCTGGTTCTGTGTTTCGGCAGAACCTTGGAAGTGAACTAGGCAGGTGGGGAAAACCACTAAGCATGACGTTCTCGATGTGTCCATTCCCCCTGAGGTTCCTCGAGCTTCTTACAGAGGGCCTGGTGTGGGAGGATTCCACTTCACATCTTTCAGAAATGCTGACAGAGGGTGGTGGGGTGGCTCAGGGTCTCCCAACCTGCTAGTCTGCCTGTCTTTCCCTGTTTCTTGCATGATGAAGCAGTCTCGGCAGGTGAGGCGCAGGGGCTGTCACCAGTTCCAGCACACATTCCATGTCCAAAGAGTTCCCAGTCCTCTGCTTGCAGCAGTCTTGGGCTGAATCTGACATCATGACCTACCCGTCATAAGCTTTGCTCTGAGGCCACGTGGGGAGATCCCTGGTTATCAAACCTGAGCATTACGGGCTTGATGAGAGCTTATCTTTCCTTCCTTGGTCAAAGACAGCCTCAAGGCCACTGTCAAGGGCTTGTTCCTGCAGTGGTATCCAGGGGTTTGGAGTATAGCACCATGCTGGCTGGTGGCCTGAGGCCCCTCTTGCTGGGCCAGTCCTCCTGTTTCTGCTTAGCCGTACATCTGCTTGAACTGAAAGCACTCATTGCAGTAGCCGTTACACTTGGCATTGCCGAAGTGGTCGCAGGCAGGGGCCCGGCAGGGCTGTTTGGGGGGCTCTTCTGGGGCGGGCTCACCCCGGTGGGCTGTGGGGCTCACACGCTGGCTGAGATGCTGGCACTCCATGCAGAGTTCTTCACTGCGACAGGCCAGGATGTTCTTACAGGAGGCCCGGGCACACTTGGGCCTTGAGGTGCCCTGTGTGGTTCGAGGCATGTCTCTGCGTTGGCTGGATCTCTGAGGCAAAGAACAGAGGGAAGTGTCACGAGGAGATCTCACTTGACAGTGTGGTTTCTACAAAGGGCTTTCCTAAGACTGGTGAGAAGCAAGAGCCCATGTGCTGCAGAGAAGAAGCTTCCCAGCTACCCACCTGTGCTCCCTCACAACCCCAGTATAAGCCAAGGGGAACCATTGACCTTGACATGGAAGCCTACAAACTGGGCCCAGTGCTCTTCCCTTGGGATTAACCATTAGTCTCTTATCCTTCTGCAGGCAACACATCTATTAACATTTGCTTTTCTGATATGCACCTGGAATGTTCTGTCTTCTTTCTGCTCATGACAAAGGATTATTTAAGAAGACTGCTTTGAAGATGTCTGTGCTTTTGCTACAAATCAAACATCTCTGACCACCACTGGGCTTTTTGGATGCTTGAAGAGGTTTTGTTCTATGGCTTATTGTATTGGCTTTTCAAATAGAGTTCCTTATTCTATGGCTTATTTTATTAGCTTTTCAAATAGAGTTCTTTATAAGTATACTTAGGCCACGCAAAGTGACAGCAGTATTTCCAACCTGAGGATCCAGAGCAACCTGGGTGTTTTTTTCCCCAGGTTCTTACAGCAGACTTTCCTAAGAAATCCTTTGTCACAAGGAGACAGACCTGGCCTGCAGAGGGGAAGTTCCTCAGAGTGCCTTACCAGTTGCTCTTCAGTCCTTTTTGCTTCATGAAATCTCTGGTTCTGAGCTTCAATGAAGCACTTCTGACAATATCCCTCAAACATGGTGCTTCCCAGCGTGCCACATTCCCTCCCCAGGCATGGAACAGTGTTCTGGAACCTGGAGGCAGCAGAACTGGCTTTCCCAGAAACAGCGGCAAAATCTATGAAAGAGTGGATTATATTCAGTCTGCATCACTGATCACAGAGACACTGATTTTAAAGAAGGAAACAGGTTCCCAGTATAGATTAGGACAGCCTTGGCTATATACTTGGGACCAGAATAAATTCAGCAAAATAATAATATTATTACTAAAACATATTTGACTTTATAGATCTCTTGCTTTGAAACACAAAGCATTGGTCAGTCATAGTAGCAGACAAACGGCAGACATTAACCGCTCATCTTTTTTTCAAATCAGAGAATACCAAAAAAACAAATGGTTTCCTAGTGTCTGCAGAGACTTGCCTCTCTATTGCTATGACTCTTCAGGCCTTGAGTGCCTCTATTATACCAGAGTTGCATGTGTCTAACTTAAATTCCATGCTATAAATGCCAGACACTGAGTGGCCTTAAGAAAACAATCCCCTGACCTCTATGACAGGGCACTCTTAGGAGACAGTGCCATCACAGTGCTTGCTGCTTCCATGTGTGGCTGGCACAGTCACTGTGACTGTGCCCAAGTACAAGCTGGTGGAAAGGCACAGTGGGATCTGAACACTCTACCCGAGGGCTCAGAGAGGCTCCTTTTCTTGAAGTTGGAGAACAAAATCCCTTCCCGACATTAGCTACTGCATTAGGAAGTCTACTCACGTTTGTTTTCTCTGTATTCGATGAAACACAGCGTGCAAAAGCCCTTGTTTTCTGGAGTCCCAAAATACATGCAGCCAGCTTTCCTGCACTTGCTTGTCACTGGCCGGTCCCCTGGAGTCCGTGCTGCCTGGGAGAGGCAGCTAGAGGGGGTGTCGTTTCCAGCTCGGTGGCAAGAGTGCGGGGCGAGACTCTGGATGAGTTGAGAGGGGTCAGACTTGGAGCGCTGGTGACAGGAAGGAGGGATGCTGGAAGAGGTCTCTGCTGTAGTCCTTTTGAAGCAAGTACTACAGATCCCATTAAATGTCCTGGTGACATCCTGGAGGCAGGCTTGGCACTTCCCAGGATCTAAATGCCTCGTGGTGTCTGTGGTATGGTTGGCATTGAGCTGCCGGGCATTGTGGCAGCGTTCACAAAATCCGTTGTGCTGCATGTTCAGGGTAAAAGGGCAGCCAGGGCTCCTGCACTTCATAGCAGTGGTCTCACTGAACAGGAAAAGGCTGGGGGCTGTTGGCGGGGCTGAATGAGGCCCCCCAGCTGGCTCCTCGGGGCTCCAGACGGAGGGCTCATAGGCCTCTCCCCGAGAGGCCCCAAGTGCCATGCCAGGGAGCCCCTCGGGGCCCAGCTTGGAGTTCAGCTTTGGAAGTCTGCTTTTGTTCTTCTGCCGCCTCTCTGAGCATTCGTGGCAGAAAGGCTGGGTGTTCACGGACATGAAGAAAGGACAGTTGGGTGTTTCACATTTTACATCCATGAGAGAAAGCTGGGGCGTGGAAGGTTCCAAAGGGTTTTGCACATGTGCCCCTCTCCTCCCCTGCTCATTGTTCTCCTGCCACTTCTTGTACTCATGCTGGACAAGTTCAAAGTAATCATCTACCAGATTTATTTCTTTGGGTAAGTTAGCTTCATCCAACCTAAAGACCAAACAGGAAACTGTAAGACTATATAAAATAGCACACCAGACTTTCAGAACGTTGAGAATGTGGATTGGGGCAACAAGTCTTTAAACACTTATGAAATCATGATATAAATGATCCAATGCATTTTGCAGTGTGTTCTCCAGTCAAATATGAAGTCAGTTTGTCTGCTAGGAAGCCATCATTATTTCTAAGGCCACAGTTTTATTTAATTAAACTTGATCCACACAGTGATTCTAGATAGAGAGTTCGCCTAGCCTGTGAGAGGCTGTGGGTTTGACTCTCCATAAAGAACTGTCTCTATGTCTCATTAATCTATGGCTTCTTTAAAAACTCACTTTTACTTTCTAACTTCTCAGAAATCAAATTTCTAGTAAAACATTACTCGGGATCTTCAGGTGGGGCCGTCTAAAGCACTAACTACTTTGGAACTTTGTGTTCTGTATTCTTCTGTATTAACTTCACTCTGTATGTGGGATCTACTGAAGTTCACTGCCACTGGTACCAAAGGCTCATAGACCCTGTTTATTTACTTCTGACTGAACTGCACTCTGGCAACCCGATTCTCTTCCTCCCTCACTATCATCTGGTGGATTCCAAGCTCTCAGAGGCAGGCATCTCTTCAACACAAAGCCAGTGAGTGTTTAGAGACGCAGGGAGCTCTGGGACTCCCTCCCACTTTCCTGCGTGGTTGTCACATAAACCCATCTTACAACCTAGCGTGTGTCTGTCCTTAGCAAAAAGCCAAGAGACAAAAGGCTTTTTATTTCCAACAGTTTTTACTTGCTAGTTTTTTTCTTAAAATACATATCAGAGCAATTAAAAGAAAAAAACAACTATGCTTGGGGGAAACTTTAAGACCCATAATTCTGGCTCTCGGCATCCAGCTATCCAGGAGAATCAATATGGATACACTACTTATTTCCATTTGACACCAAAGTTGCTATCCCTTAAATGATTCTCTCTAATGCATGCATGGGACTCTGAATTTGTTTCATGTTGAGGAACCTAACTGTAAATTAATACTGTGTTTTGGGGTAGAGGCTGCTTTGAAGGTAGTTACAAGTGACAGAGAAGAGAGTGCTCACTTTGCAGCATTGATCAGATGTGTCGTGCCGTGGTCCCAGCCTTGCACCGGGATTTCTATCACCATCAAATACTCTTTTAAGAGCTTTTCCTTCATCTCATTTTCAGGATCTGTCAAAAAGTGAATTTTTAAGTCTTCAAATCTTCCTCGGTCTCTGTTAACAAGTGGAACAGCTCGGATTTCTGAGGGAAAAAAATAGCATGTAAGCAAAATATGATTCTCCTAAGTGAGGTTGCATGTAAGGCCATATTATAGGATTAAATTTTGAAAATGTGGAAAGCATATAATTTAACAAGTAGAAAAGAATCTTCTAGTCACAGTTAAAACCAAATGGGAAAACAAAATGCACTGAACTAATATAAAATGCCTTGCTTCCAGGGAGCTCACAGAATATTAACCAGCCTAGAGCCTATGGATCTTAACTGCTAACTTCCCACACTTCAGTCAGACTGACCTGAGTTCAAATCCTGGTTTTGTCACTAGCAAGCTCTGTGTTTTTAGGCAGGTTATTTTACCTCTCTGAGTTTCAACTACCTCATCTATAAAATCTGCCTCTGCCAGCATCTCACAAGGATGCTATGAAAGTGAAGTGGGATGAAAGAATGTACCTTAGCACAGAGCTGCACATCAAGCTGTGATGTGCAGTGATAATAGCTAACCTGACAGGCATGTACCTGCTCTATGCAGGCACCTTCATTTGTCATGCATTAATGGTGACAGCCGTAGGAATATGTATAATAAATATGCTGCTTAAGATTAAATGTTGAAAGTTCCCCCCAGCCCAACACAAAAAAGATGTGGGGGTATTACGATGAATCATGGAATCATGTGACTCTAATCTGAAAATCCCACATCCAAAGTGCTCCCAAATCTGAAACTTCTGAGAGCATTGTGGACTTCAGATGCTCAGCTGGTAAAGTCTATGCACCTCAAAACTCCAAAATGTGAAACACTTTTGATCAAGCATTTCATAAAGGAATACTCAACCTTTACTAACAAATGAATGACAAAATAATATATTTAAAAAAAAAAATCTCTAATAAGACTTTAAAGTCTAAGACTTATTAAGAGCAAAAGAGAGAACCCTGCCTGATGAGTGAGTTAGTCTCTAACAGGTCAATGTGAACTGAGACTGTTTTCTTACCAGGCCCACTGTCCTTCAGAGTCACCAGCGGTACAAAGTGTTGGCTGTCATAGCCGAGGACAATGGGGTATCTGTAGCATTCCTGGGCTGGCCAGTGGAGAGGCAAGTATATGCCACCTACTTTCAAAGGGGCAAAATTGGAACCTGATTCCAGACTTCTTAGCATTTTGTCTGTTTAAGAAAAGAGAAAGAAAAATAAGGCTTCAGGTCACTTTCATCAAATTCTACTCAGCTATGGTTACCTACACCTTTGGGAGTGTGGCTTTTGTCCTCAGCCAAAGCATTAGCTGAAGATCACCTATATACAAATAGGTGATCTCCAGGCATCTCACCTGAAATGACAATGATGGGTCTTCTGAGGATGTTGCTGAGGATAAATATGTGAATTTCCTCCAGTGAATTATACTGAAGTCCACTCCGGGCTGCTGGGGCATCTGTGGATGCCATTTTGATAAGGTTGTCCCACTCATCATTCCAGTTCTAGGGGAAGAGGAGTCAAGGGAAAAACGAAGACTGAGTGCACTCTGCATTAAAGTCACTCCGATATTGCTCTGCAGTTATTCATTTATATAACTTAGCTGAGTTTTCCCCTTTCTTGAAATCATCATTCAAATTATCATCCTCCCCCTCCCCCACCCCCGTTTGGTTTTTTTCCTTTACTTTTTTCCACTACAACGCAAATTCAAAACTGGAGGAGGAGAGGGACAGCACCTGCTTTCAAAAAAAAAAAAAATCCCTCCTGAGGTCCAACAGTGAAACCCCTCATCCAAATGTACACAAAAATTCCAAACTTGTGACCAAGAATGGTGAGGTACAGTCTTCATTTGATTGGCTGGCTCAGCAGAGCAGGCTAAGGTCAATCAAACTGGCAAAAACAGAAATGCCAAAGGAAAGGCCTTGGTCCAAGAGCCCCACACCTGGGAGAAGGCTGCCCCACAGCTCTGAGTAGTGGTGAAAGCCTCAGGTTAATCCCACAGAAGTCTTCTGGTGTTTTCCACTGAGTATGCTTTGCTGAGCCTGATTCATGTGACTAGTAAGTCATATGCTCCTCAAGGGGAAATGGAATGGCCCAGAGTGCCCCTCAGGCACCATGGATCTGTATGGGGGGACCCACACATACCCGAGTGTCATAGCAAAGCCCTGTCTCCACAAATTCCTGAGATTTCAGAGACTCCAGTTGCCAGCGGAATTTGAAGTTGCGTGTGTCCGTCTCCTTGAGCGTGCTGCAGAGCGCCTTCCTCAGGACCAAGTCTGTGTCCTGAACACCCCACATGTACTGACAAGCAGCGTGCATGAGGCAATTTCCATCACCTGAGGACAGGAGGGAGCCATGAGGAGCAAAGTCAAGCAAAGCTTTGCAGAATAAACTAGTCTATGCGGTTTGATTTCTCAGTCAAGGGTCAACTAACGCTTCACAAGGTGATGAGAGCTAAAGGGAAAAAAATCATTTTTTTCACTCTTCTTTCTAACGAGTGGTACCAACAGGCCAAGGAGTCAGAGGCCTTGGTTCTAGCATAGCTCGGCTCCTAACTGGTTTAGGTGACCTGGGGGAGATTCATTAAGGTTTATGAAAACTTCTCCTCTTTGTGGAATGAGGGCACTGAACTATATTTCTTTTCTTTTCTTTCTTTCTTTGTCTCTCTCTTTCTCTCCCTGCCCCACCTTCTTTATTTCTTTTGAAGTACTTGGATTTGAACTCAGGATCTCCCACTCAGGTGCTCTACTACTTGAGCCACGCCCCCTCCTCCCTCCCACCTGGTCCTATCTCTAAGAGTCCCTGGTTGGCTGGCTAAGGCTCCAGCACTATTGCCCTTCAGCACTAGGGAAGTACTAATACCCAGGTAACATGTACAAACCAGGAAGCAAGCACAGCTAAGCCTACTAGACAGGGACAGTCTGGCTGTAACTCAGTGGGAAATGACTTTGACCATTCTACTTTAACTTTGAGGACCTAGAGTTTCTTCCCCTGGTTTGTAAAGTGGGATTGACAGCACTGAATTATCTGTAGCTTGCCATCCCTGACCTGCACCTCTCTCCAAAATACATTATGTGAACCTGCCTGTGAGCCATTAAAGTCCCTTTGCAAAGTTTAAAAGCACTTAGTTGTTAAATTTTTAAATGAATCAGTGTTCAGGGCTGGCATTTTGAGAAAAACATGTCTAATTTTCTTCTACAAATTTGTGACTTTTCCAGCTTAAAAAACTCACAATTCAATAGGATGTATTATTTTGTTGTCATTGTCTTTGGCAATGTTGGGGATGGAACCCAAGGCCTCAGGCACACTAGGTAAGGGCTCTGCCACTGAGCTACATCTCCAGCCCAAGATTGCATCCTATTCCAGCCCCTAAACAATAAACAGTGGGGGAATCCTTAATACAAACTAAGTTAGCTCCTCATTATCTTTGGCAAGTGCAAAATAGTTCTCATTTTTTAAAAAAAGTTAAATTGTTTTCTTACATTATTCATTAGTAAGGCAATAAAGCTATTGGAAAATTTATCAAACTCTAATTAGAGTCAAACTATAAAAAATGTTTAAATGTCAAATACATATCCACAGCCAACATTCCTTCAATTTACAAACTTTGAAAAGCCAGCAGAATGAATGAACAAAAAGATCACTCGAGCCTTGTGTCTTGCCGAAGTGTGGCAACCACTACATTCTGTTGAAATTTCCCCTTTGCAAAATCTAGAGCAAAGATAAGACTTTTTTTCTTCTTGTTGCGCTTACTTTCAGTTCTTTATTGAGATGCACCAGTATAAAATTCCCTAAGTAACATCTGGAATTCCCCAGTGAGAAGATATTTGACTAGCAATTGAGCAACAGCTATTGTACGTTTTGTTCTGGTGTGTAGACATTTAAACTGCGAACTGCACCCTGGACTTTCCAAGTGGGTGTGGTCAGGGTGAGCTGGAATAGGCTACTCATTATACAAGTGAAATCTCTGTAGCCAATAGACGCTGGAATTTTTCACATGAAGTTTCAATTTTATGCCATCTACTCCCTTCCTCATTCACCACAGTCTCATATCCTCAAATGCAAACGTATGAATCACCCCTCCCCAAACAGACTACTGACATTGAAGAAACCCTCCTATAGGGGGAAGGATTAAACAAGACAGAAAGACAGAGAGAGAGAGAAACACAAGGAGCTAACATAAACCAGAGAGAAAAAAAGCCATTTGTTTTCCTCTCTCCCTTAAATGCATTTTCTTCCTTTTACATAATTTTAAGAAATTTTCTCCAAAGTAGGGAAATAAGGATTCTGAGCCTAAAAATCTCTATTTTACCCAGGTCATGTTATCAAAATACATTTGCTTTTGTAGTTTTATTTGTAGTATGAATCTTCGTTGATTTAAATGGAATATGATTGCAAAACAAGTGTTTGACATTTATATTCCTTTTTTTCTTAAGAAAATAAGGTATCTCGTTTTTTAAGGAGACAGTATACAATGTCTGGTAATTCTATTAATGATAATAAGATTTCCCCTTTTCTTCCCATTTCTAATTTTCACAAAGTTGACTTCTCTCTCTCTCTGTCTCTCTCTCTCTCTCTCTGTCTCTCTCTGTCCTAACATCATGGGACACAGGTAAAACCACAAATGGTCTGCTACATAAACTCTCTGACGACAACTTAACATAATCATCTACTTCTGTGTATCACCTGATTCAATGCCAAAAACAATGTAGATAGTAGCTCTCTCCAGTTTCTTCCAACCTATGTTTCTAAGAGTTTAAGTTTCATAAATGTAGGTAAAATGTTTAAGTGACATACAAGAGTCCCCAGAATCAATGCAAAAACTCCCTGCATCCACAGATCATTATGACTTACTCAAGTAAAAAATAGTTAATGTACCAACTGAGATATTAAGTCAATGTTCTTATCATCATCATTGGTAATTTGACACCGATACAAGACCAGAGATTGCTGCACAAACTGAGACTATAAGCATGTCATTGATCTAGTTAGCCTGTTCACTTATCACAATAAGTATCTACCTCCAAAAGGCAGAATTCTGCACTGCATGAAACAGTATGCTTGGATTTTTGTTGATGTACATATTCTTGCTCAAAGGAAATGGTTAAAAAATACAACAGTAAAGCTCAGACTAGGAAATAGCTATTGTGTTAAAGGGTCATTTGTGCAAAAGGCACAGACAAGAAAAAACTCAGTGCTGGGGAGTCCCTAAAAAGGATGAGTAGAGGTCTAAAACCTATGCTAGAAAGTCCTAAAAATCTCTGATTTGCTACTAGAGATATGTAAGCCTGTTAGTGACAGCTTAATTAACTACTTGTACGCAGTGCTTGACTAATGTCAGGAGCAATGGAGACAGAAGCCACCTCCTTTTCTTAGGCAACACAGCCAGGTAAGGAAAGAGGTGACAAAAGCAGCTTCACTGGTTAACCCATAAAGGGCCATCAACTCAAGAAGTGAAAGACACCACAGCCTTTGCTAGTGACACTGGGAAACAACAGTAATACTAGTTTGTACAAATACCACGCTTTCCTTTTGAACTTAAAAACCTTTGTAATATTTCCATATTGGCCAGGGAAGAGCATTTTCTAGATGATTAAATGGTTACTAGAATCAGAAACATTAATCACCAAACTGGGGTATGGCATTTGGAACTGCATCCCCCAAGCCCTTGTCACTCTAACACTTAGAAACCCTTAGAAAATAACCTTAATAAAAACATTTACGAAGCCAGGCATGGTGATTCACACCTGTAATCCCAGTACTCAGGAGACTGAAGCAGGAGGATTCTGAATTTGAAGCCAGCCTGGGCTAGCTACATAGCAAGTGCCACGCCAGCATGAAATACACAGTAAGACCCTCTTTCAAACAAAACGTCACCAGGCAAGCTTGCTACTATCATACACACTGCCCCCCAGAGAGTTGCTCTTCTTAGGTTTCCATGACTATTGCTGTTAAACTTCATGGATGGGGTTCCAGCACAGGGGAGCTGTCTCCCTGCCAGACAACAGAAGATCAACTGGGAACACTTACCATTGGTTTTCAGAGCCACTAGCTTCCTGACTTCGCGACACCAGTTGAGCTTCTTCTGGCTTTCCAGGGAAGCCTGGATGTTTCTGTCGATCAGAGCTTTGTGGATGATCTCCCGAAACTGTGGACAAAATTGGCAAGTTCTGAACATTTCCAGTGTGTATCGATGCATGGTTTTAAAATGATGAATGATCCCATTGGTGGGTTTCAAGATGTCTTCTGGAGTTCTCTCCCTTATCTTCACAGCTTTCCGCATGTTGCTCAGGTACAACGCCTGGGGAAGGAGGTGTTCAGCCATGATGCACCACAGGACCTGAAGAGGACGGGGAAAAGCCCATTCCGTTAGGCTGCCTTTGACACTACTCCCATATACCTGCCTGCAGGAAACCCCAGTGTTTGATCTTGTCATTACCCTAATCTGTAGGCAAAAGATCTTAGTCACTTTTACTCCCAGGATACTAGCTGGCCCCACAGATTAACTCACACTGGACTGTTTTAAGTTACATCACTTTTAAAGATTAGTCTAAACAAGAGAAAGAAGGCGGAGAGTGGGAATTGAGGGGGAGGGGAATAACCCGTGTGTTCAGTAACATTTGTCAGGAAGTCAGGACCATCTGTCAGCCACAGGTACTGCTCCACAAAACCCAGCTAAGCTCCCACTGCATTCTGATGCCACTGTGGTGGGGTGCTTGATTTTAGGAGCACTGAATATTCTCCAATGGAGGACACAGGGAGCCCTGACAAGGCCCGCTCTGCCCCTAAGACCCCCACTATTCAATCCTTGCTCTTGGGCAAGGGCTTGATTCATCTCTTTTCAACATTTCCTCCCTGGGCTGCAAAGACAGCAAATATTTTATGGAAAATCCCATGTCATCCTAGTCTGCTGTTTAGTGTTTCCTCTTTAGCCCCAAAGAAAAGTATAAAGTGTTTATTGCAATATTTACAAAGAATCAAAACCAAATTGTTTTAGAATGAACAAAACAGCCTATTTCCACCAAGATGCTTTGCAATCTCGAGAGCCGACATGAGAACAGACAGGTACTAACAGAATAATAAGTTGCACCCTTGCAAGAACAGACACTGGGCCTCACTTATTTCAACTCAACTGCCAACACAACTGTATGCTCAGCTGCGTTTCCACCCACCCTGTCCTTCACCCTGGAATCCTCAAGCCTAATCAACAGGTGGAGGAAATGAAATTCTGGAAGCAGACAGGAGAGAAGTTTGAGCCAGGAGGCCAGTCAGGACAAATGAAAGAGGAGCAGGGGCAAGGACCAGCAGCTGTGACCCGTGCCCATGGTGTGGAAGGGTGGGAATTGGTGCACAATGGGATCGTCCCAGTGTGGAGCAATGTTGACAACCAGCTCTGCTTCACCAGCTCTGAATAGGGTGCCACCCCACATGTCCCATTTTATAAGAAGACAAGGGTGATTTTGGCACACAAAGGCATTCCCTAGAAGTTTCACAGCTATGGTTAATCCCACACCTGCACTTGCTTTCCGCCAGGGCAACCCTTCAGGTAAGAAAGAAGTGAAACCTATGTGAGAGGGAAGAGAAGGATGGCATTAGGTGAGTACAGGTTCTCTTAAGCCACTTATAAGGTGATCTAAATTCTTGTGGTCACCTTGTAGAAGGAAGCTTGAGAACTAGAGGACCCTGAGGTGCTATTGAGGATTTGCCTTGGAATTCTTAATCTGACCACTGGGTAAGGCCCGGGAGAAAGCACTCTCTGGGTCAGATGGTGATATTTCTCATGTCAAATGTTCCCTGCAGGTGAGAAAGGGCAAAATCAAAGCAGGACTATGGGCACCACGTTGAGACAAAAACACCACATACCCTTATCCTTTGTGGTGCACCCTAAGTATCCTTCCTAGCACCACTCATCCATCCATCCATCCATCCATCCATCCATCCACCCATCCATCCATCCACCCATCCATCCATCCACCCATCCAGGAATCCACTCACGAAGCATTCCAGACTAACTAGCGAAGGCCAATCTCTGTGCTTGATGCTAAAGCATTGAAATCACATCACCACTCGCTCCGCAGATAAAGCACTGGAGGTACAGGTCTATCCCACGTCCCATAGCCATGCAGGGACCTGCCTAGAAGTCAGGTCTTCCTATGCCTGCCCCTAGCTAGTCCTGTAACACCACGCAGTGCTGTGGATGCAGTGCTTGCGGATTTCAAGTGGACACAGACAGGCAGTAGGAAAACTAAACAAACTAGTGTTGCCTCTTTCTAACTCTTCTGTTTTGTTCTTCTGGGTCTACCTATATTTCAGCAAAGATCCAAAATGGTGAGAGCTGTAAACCCTATGCAAGACATGCAAATGCCAATATTTAACAGTCATCATGATCTCATTCATAGACTCAGCTTTGCACAGCCTGCAAAAATTGCTTCCTTCAAACAAATCAAAACCCACTGCCTGAGTTTTCAGTTCTTGGACTTTTCCACTTTTGAAATTAAAGAATAATTTTTTTATATAGGATTGTAATGTCCTTATGAGCAAAAAAACCCACAGTATTACCCTTGACCTTTTTTTTAAACTTTTGTTCTCTCACTGCTCACTTAAAGATAATTTCCCTATTTCTGTCACCTACTCATCCAAGTCTTTCTTCTCTTGTGTTATTTTTTCCCTCTGAGCAGACATTTCTGTCTGCAATGTGGAAATTTATGTATTAGTTATCAACAAATACCTCAGGCAGTCCTGGGGAAGTATGCTTCCAAAAACTGTATAAAGAATTGCAAAACAAACAAACAAACACACAAAAACCCGAAAACAAAACTCCAAGAAACATCTCAGACAATGAGAAGGGGCTACTCACTGGTTGCTCAATAATCTGGGACATGAGGGTTGCACTACAAAGACTCTTTAATTAGCAATGATCCTCCCAAAATGCTGCCCCCAGACACTTGACAAGACTGGCTTTCCAAGGAAAGATCAGAGGTCCAGAGAATTGAAAACAAAGCGGGCTCAAAAAGCGCTGAGCTCCTTCCTTACTTAATACCACTGCTTTCCTGAGAGACCAGGTGGCAGGATGTGGGACGACCAGGGCTGACAAAGAGTGTCTGAGTGTGGGGTAGGGGCTGCAGCAGGGACCTGCACATCGCTCCCAAAGTGAGGTCCCCAAAAGGCAAGCCAGTGACCCACTTTGCCATGCACACTTCCCTTACCCCGGCACCTGGGAAAGGTGATCGCCGTGCCCCGACCCCACCCCCTGCAGATCCCTGAGCCTGGGGAAGCTGTCCTCGGGAAGCTTAGCTGACAGAACTCCGACAGCCATCCCCACCGCGCGGGTTCTGCACAACCTGGGAAGTGTAACTTGGGCGCTTCTGCAAGGTCTACGTGGCCGTGAGCATGCAGGCTTGACCCCCGCCCCCACCCCCCCACCACCAAAAACCAAACAAGAGCAAAGGAGCAAAGCCCCGACGACCACCCGACCAAGGGTTCTGAGGGGGCGACTCTTCCCCAGGTAGTTGCAGCTTAAACTGATCTGCATAATCGGAAAGGTACAGCTAGCTCCTTGGAGGAATCCAAGGCTGTCACCCTCACATCTGGCACGGCCACCTCAACTCTCAGCACTTCAAAACCCAGAATAGGAACACTAGCCAACGAACCTCCCTCCAGGACTGATGATGCAAAACCATAGCGGAGGAGACCCGCAGCCCTAGCCCACCGTGCGCCCCGCACCCGACGACGCGGCACTTACCTCCGCGGGCCGCGCGCAACTCTCGCCAAGTTCCAAGTCCCGGTCAGGACAGGCGCGCGTCGCAGGCTGGGGTCGCGATCCAAGTCCGGGTCGGGGTGGGGGTCGGGCCGAGGCAGCGCCCCATGGACGCCCGGGTCGGGCTCGCTCGCTGGCCGGGGGTGTGCACGTCTCCAGGCGGCCTGTGTCGCCGCTCCGCCCCCGCGGGCTCCGAGCCCACTGCGCTCCTCCCGCTGGAAGGCTGCAGACTGGGCAGTTCCCTTTTTTTGCCTTTCAGTTGTATCTGCGGCCGACAACCCGGGGATTTCCACCGCCGACCCGGGGATTTCCAGTCACGTGATGCCGGTCGGCTCTGGAGCCCTCGTGGCGCGAGACTGGCCTCCAGAGGGCGCTAGGGACACTGGAGCCGCTGTCCCCCGCCCAGTCGGCCCGGCTCGGCCGGGCCGCTCCGCTCCGCCCCAAGAAACTCCTGCGCCCCGCCCCGGGGTGTCCCCGCGTGAGTCACCTGGGCATTTCGGAAGCTGGCCCCAACGTCACATCCATGTGGAAATCGCAGTGATGGGAACTGGAAATGAAGTAGGTTCTTTTTTGCAAGCCCCTTTTCTGGAGAAAATCGACTTGTGAAGAAAGGAAATAAGAAAGAAAACCCTAAAAACCACCCCGGTGCTCGGCACCGCAGGCCGGGGCCGGGTCGGGTTTGAAAAGTCTGGGCCGCGCACATGGTGAGCTTTCAAGAGAGAGCACCAACCACAGAGGGTCTTTACGGGGATTTCGAGAAAAAGAAGCCGGGTCCCCAAGCCCTGTTGTTCCTGTCAGCCCTGAACTCCAGGCTGGGAGGGATGCAGGACCGAGGTGGCATTCCTGCAGCTTTGAGGTTGCAAGGTCAAGACCAATCTTAGACACCATCAGAAATCAGAAGAACCCCCACCCCACCTGTACTCATTCCATTTCCCCTTTATTTCTGCACACCACAGCCTCGGTGGCCTCGCATTTAAGCAGCATTTCTGCTTAGAAATCACTTCTGAGCCATTGCCTACTTTGTCTTGTCTGCTAAGGTTTTATTAGGTGTGGTTTAGATGTCCTAATAATTAGTACACCCCAAGGTGCCAATGACTGATAGATAATTGCTGATAATGCCCCCAACCCCCCTGCTGTTGGCCTGGTAACTGCACTGCACTGCCTTGGTTGGGAAGAGTGAGTCATGAAGTAGGTGTCTGCCACCTGGGCATTGGGAGGTACAGGAGTGATGGAGGAGAGGCTAGCATGCTTTACTACCTTGGTGCTGTCTCCAGACCCACAGCCCCTCGGCCTGATTCCTGGAGGGGCTAAGCTAGAATCTACTGCAATACTGGGCACCATTGTCCTCTTAACTACGCATATCAGAGCCTATATCGCAAGTTTTGAATTATTAAAGTAGGCTCCATTCTCTGCAGAGACTGGGCTGGAAACTGGGTGAAGGGTGCCATGTTTTGACAAAGGGAGGCTTCGAGCAGTGAGTAGGGCCACTGTCCCAACTGGTCCTAATCTTTTTAGGCTGGAATTTTTTTTCCAGCTCCAAACCTCCTGATATTCATCCCCTTCTCACTCACAAATGTGCTCAGCTGTCAACACTCAAACAATGGGCAGCTGAATTAGTAATATAAAATGACATTTCTCCAGTACTTATTATGAGCTCACACATGCTTTTATATGAAGTTCAGAAAACTTAAGCCCTAGGCCCAAAGTCAACACAGCTAGTAAGGGGCAAAGCTGCCTCTGGAGCTGGGTGTGTCTTACTCCTAAACCCATACTAGTAAGTTAACCATGTGACCATTCCTTTCAGGAAAGATCCTATAAGATACATAGTCTCACTCTGGCCTCCAGCCTCAAAAAGACACCACAGCCATTTAGGCAAACACAGACCTTGGTTCTACCCTCAGGAAAGCTTCCATGACCCCCCTTTCTGGCTCGAGGCTTGCTCCCTTGTTTGATGAGCTAGGAATGCAGCAAGGAGGAACGGCAAGCCTGGAAGGCCAGCCATGTTCATACCTGCCACTTCCTATTGTCCTGACATAGCTGCTTTACATCCTGCCTGTCAGGATTTGTGACAGGGGGATAATAGTCAGATGCAGGAGAGAGCCATAACCTTCAATTTTGTTCTCCATTTTCCACAGCTCTACTTCTGAGCTCATGAATGCCCACCTCTCCCTATCCCTTGCCGCCACCCCACAAGGCAGAGTGAGTACTGATCTATAAGAAGACACATTTCACTCTGCCCCTTTTACCTTCTAAATCAGTGCTGTGCCTAGCTATACACTTAACTTTCCCTTTCAAGTACTTAACGCCTGGAGAGTAAGAATTTTCTAGGTGGTGCATCAGAAGGGAAGGATAGAAGGGAAAGTATCAGAGTACCCCCTTTTGAAAAGAGGAAATATAAAATCAGGGGCGATTTGATGAATGAATTGAAAACAATGGGAGTCCCCAAAGCTTTGGAGGGGGCTTTAATGTCTATTGTAGATATCATCAGGATCGACAGAACTCTTCAAAGAAGAAGGAAAATGTATTAACATCTAGTGGACATAGAGGAGAAAAGTGTGTCTCCTTATTAGGTGAGAGAGGAATTCTGAGTCCTGGGCTTTGTGTTGTTTTCACTATGGTGCCAACCTTCATAAATCACAAACTGAATACAAGTGCATGTTGACCCCCGGAAACTAAACAGTATCTGTGAGACTGTACCTTCAACCTGTGTACTTGTACCATGCCACGAAAAAGAGGTTGCATCCCAAGACAGTGGGGAGCAGGAGAGACCGGATTAAAGAGAAGCAGAAGTGATGTGTGGGAAAGGGTGGGCCCAGAACCAATGTGGGTCATGAACCTTTGAAAATCAGGAATCAGTGCTGGTGTCTGTCTGAGATAGTATGGAGTTCCAGGACATGACAATCGTGGGCCAAAGTACAATTGGACATTTTGTGTTCACACCTGCCCCTCTCCTCTTTTCCTAGCATGGAACTCCACTGAAAAGGCAGATTATATCAAATCTAGTCTGAAATGGCCCGATGGAAGTATGGCAGTTTAGTTAATACAAGGTGGATTAGAACAATCCTGCTTCAAATTTTAATTCCCCTTGGCAGAGCTTTGAGATCGCTGAAGAGTAGTGTTTGCAAGTGCACTACAAGGGCTAGTTCCGAGAGTACAATAGAAGCTCTTTGTGGATTCTAATCACAGTGAGAAGAGGGATAACCATGTCATAGATTTCATCATTGCATGAATGCCACCTTCTACTGAAATGCCACTTCTTATCAAGGGACCTCAGATCCTTTACAGGTATTATCTGGGTCGAATGAAGAAACTCAAGACCCACTACAGTGGAGGGACAACTGGAGCAACCCAGTGAGTAACTAGTACCAGGAACAAGACCCTCCACTGGAAGGAAAGCAGCTGAAATTGAAAACTTGTCAGAAAATTCACTCCTGTAGATTCCACTTTTATTTCCTGTCAATACTTGGCTGAACCACTTGGCAAAGTAATTTTATTTTACATCATGAGTAAATATATTCAATTCTTGGTTTCATTTCTGTTTCTGTGGAGGCTGCAATTAATGACCAAATATGTCAACAACAAAAGGCTGTGAAATGGGTGTTCTTAGGAACCCACTGGCATGCTTGCTGGTTTTAGGAATAAGGGGATGTTAGCTGAGATAAATTAGTTTCTGTTATTTGTAATAGTATGACCCTGTGTGTAAATTTTCCATTGATGTTCTCCTTTTTTTCTTCAAATTGTCCCTTAATCCTCTCAGTTTGGGTTTTCTTAATCCTACTTCCTTCCCAGTCCTGCCTCCTTTCCCCTTCGTCTCCACAAAAGAAAAAGGATTTTGGTTTTCATTGCCTCAGGGACCTGTTTTCCTGGAATGGCTAATAAGGTAAGTCATATTCACTATCTCAGACAGACTGCAATGTGTGATTATGTTATATTTCATGAGAAAATATTCCTATTGAAACCAGAACCTCTAATTCTTAGTGGTGGAAATTCCAAGCGCCTTGCCAGCTGGAAAAGGAGCTGCTATATTTCTGTGACTGAGTCCATGGCTATGAGACGTACTATGGACTATGGATTTAGTGACAACAGCAAGGGACAGGGGAAACATCCCATGGATTAAATGCACACCCATCCTTTCTTCTACTCACCGACAGACAGTGCAATCAGAGGCCCACCGCCAGGGGCTCCAACATGTCAGCATGACCACTCACCACAAAGTTCAGAGAAAGATTTATTACCACAGCTGCATGCGGGAAGAGGGGGAGTAAGCATGTCAGTTCATCTTCAGAGTTCAGAAACGAGGTGTAGGTTTAAATAGAGGGAGAATTGGGGCAGGGAGCATGAGGTATGTATAATTATTAAATAGTCCCAATGGAAGCTGTGATCCATTTGGTCAGATGGAGCCTTGTCACAATAAGAAAGTTAGAAAGTTGTTGCTTGGGAGATAGTTTCCACTCTTGTAACAAGATGTTTATGCATTGAGTCCTATCCTTCCTGGAACCCAAGGTAACTACAGGACAGACACTCAGAGCAAAGGAAGGAGATGCAAAATGGAGGCAGGGATGCTAAGCTTTCTCTTACTTTTAATTAATTTGTAGGCCCAGGTGAGAAGTCAGTGGTTTTTAGCAAAGGCAGTTTTTAAGTACCTTATACAGTAAACTACATTTATTTATTGCGATACTGGGGTTTGAACTCAGGGGCTACAACTTGAGCCACTCCACCAGTCCTTTTTTTGTGAGGGTTTTTTGAAATAGGTTCTCGCGGACTATTTGCCCTGTCTGGCTTCGAACCCTGATCCTCCTGATCTCTGCCCCCTGAGTAGCTAGGATTACAGGTGTGATCCACCAGCACAAGGCCTAGACTACATTTATTGATGTGACTGTGCTCCTCTTTCTTCATCACAAGGAAGGCTGGATTAGAGACACAGAGGCATGGGACCCAACATCCAGGGGCTAAGAATAAACACTGAATTAACAGGTAACTTGAAGTTTCTCATTCCCCATTAGGCTATAGCAACTAACCATGCTTTTAACCTTGCACCAGTGATTTGTGCAGAGGCCTAGATAAGCACGTTTTGGATGGATATCTCAAGAAAAACCTCTGGTAAAGCTGATCTTTGCACTAAAGGGAGACCTTGTTAAAGGAGGATAAATATGTCTTAATAACAGGCTTTTCTGACCTAAATAAATCCCATCCTAAGGAAAGACATCTGGCTTAAA